ACTCTTTCCTTGTATTTATCACGGAACCAAAGAGAAGTCATACATTCATAGGGGTATAATTGTAATCAACGAACATGCTTTCTTGTTTGAGAGTAATTAAATGAACATGGTGGCTCAAAATTAGCAAACACTTGCAAGGTCGCAGTTACATAGTTTTGACTCTGCTACTGCTTTTTGCAAAAATATAAAAATCACATGTTAGACTCCTTTTTTAATAGATCAGAAAATGTATAAATAGAAATTTTGACTTTTTTCTTTCTTTCTTTTTTTAAAAAGAATCTTTACCATTGATTCCACGTGCAAGCAAGCAAGAGGTCAGAAAGAAGAGAAGGGAAGATAACTTTAAACATGATCATTTCATAGAAATACATGCATATCATCGGTGATGGGTTGCAGTCATCGAGACCACTAGGGTGGGATCAGAAGAAATAGAGGGAGGTGCTTGCTTTAGTGATTTCAAGCCTCCCTTCCACGTTTGTTAATTTTATACCCTGTTGACTTCGACATCCACTTATTTATTCTGTTTTTCTTTTTATAGAGACGAACAAAGTCAATGTTTTGAAATCTTACTTGGTGGTTGGTTTGATTTAAGGTCTAAATTTTAAATTTTGATTAGGTTAGCCGATTGTTTAGATTAATATTTTTTAAAATTAAAATAATATTATTTTAATAAAAAAATTAATATGTTATAACTAGATTTTTGAACGGATTTTTTTAGGTTGAGTTAACCTATTAAATTAGTTGGAATTTTTTTTTTTTAACTTGATTCAATTCCAACTTTAAATTAATTGGATTCTGGATCAATTTATTATACTGGTTTCAAATCTTTGATTAAAGGCTTATATATGTTTAGCTATAATTATCATCATTTTATCTATGCATATTTTAATTATAAAGAAACTAAAAGATTAAGTGGTTTCACAATTTCAATTACTGTAGAAGTAGAGTTATTTTTATTGTGGATTGGTGTATTTTAATCGTTTTTTTTTTCACCCTTGAGAATTATAAGGAAATTTTTTACTGATGTTTATTGAAAATTAATGTGTTGTTTATATAGGCTTGAAGATTATAATAGCTTAAAAAAAATAATCGTGACAAAGCTTACAAAATGTTTAGGACTTTTTGGAAGAATTGACAACAAAAACTTCTATTGGTAATTTCGTTGCCAACATAGTTTCTAATGGAAAATGAATGAGTACAGATCTTAAATTTTAGTATGGATATTGATCTGGAAATATTTTTCATTGCCAAAAAATAAATCCAATGGAAACAAAAATCCCAACGAGATAATAAAAAATATAGATGATATTTAGCTTAAACACCAACAAGATATTCTGTTAATATTTTCTAGTAGTAATATAATTAAATAAAAATAAATTTTAAAAAGTACATAATTATTTTTAAATAACACAAACAAAATCATACATTTTCAAATTCCATCTTATTTATTTCTATTTGCAATGTAATATCAGAATTTTGCATACTATTAACGGATTTTTTCGTTAGCATTTTCGATACAAATTCTGTTGAAAAAATATTTATTAATATAATTACATACGTATTAATTTATTAAAAAACATATTATTAATGATTTTTATTTTTTATTTTTTATTTTGTACGTCATTTTTCAAAATTCAATTTAAGTACTTTTAGGTTATAAAATATTAACACGCATCACAGTTTCAGTTTCAAAATGCATAGACAGCTCACTTTATAATGAATTAGTGGGCACAAGTAAATGGAAAAAAGTTCAATAAATCTTTTTGAAATTTTAATCATCAATTTTACAAGAACAGGTTGGAAATGAAACACGGCCAGAGAAAGTATTTTATTACTTTATGTTGAAAACTAGAGTGAAAAACGTAAACGTATGATAAAGTCTCATGAGACCCCGCAGACAACGTTGCAACGAAGCTCGGTCCAAAGTCCAAATGAGGTACACAAGAAATGTATATATATATATATTGCATAACCCAGAAAAAAAAGAGGTATAGAAGTTGAAATTGAAAGTCAAATCAAAGTGAATTTTACTGTTCAAGCCTACTAGGGAAATAGAAGCACAAGAAAAGTTGTTTAATAAGGATGTTTCATGTATTGAGTATTATTAAGAATTAAGTTAATATAAAATTGCTTTTAAAATCTTATTCAATAATTTAAATATTTAAGTTGGGGTTATTATTTGATATTTTATTAAGTGATCGTAAGTTAAAATCCTATCACTCCCTCATTCTTTTTCTAAATTAAAATATTTGGTGAATTTAATCATCATCATGTTATTATTTTGAATATATAGGTATTATATTATTAATATATATGCATTAATTTATAGTCGTGTTTAAATATAATGTTAATAAATGAAACTTTGTGATTACAAATCGTATGTCTAATATGATTATCAACGTTTTCATATACTAATGTTTTCATTTTGTAAAAAGGATAATTTAAAATACACCAACTAATTATTCTATAAATTATTAAATATTTTAAATAAAATAAAAATATAGTTTATTTTTTTGAAGTCTGAAAATCATCATATATGTTAACAAGAAAGGTTCAAAGGTCCCATAAAAAAGAAAAACACAAGTACAACATTAAAAAAAAAAAAACTAGTGGTCTCATAAAAAAACAAATATAAATGTATCTGGACCTGATTGATCTCCATGTAGTTAAATAACAAGGAAAAGGTTGTCGATTTAATTACAAGTTAAAAGCAAAGGGTACTTCAAGACATGTAAGGAAAACAAAACGAGAAAAGACAAATATAGATTAGATGCTCTAGAGTATAGAGGACACTAATTAGAGCTACATGTATAGCTTATGTACAAAAAGTCCAAAGGACCTTAACTGGAATTTAAGGAACCTTGTTGGTCTTTAGATATTATCCGTGCAATTCCCTCCCATCATTGCTATAAAT